TCTATGTACCAAGTTTCATTGAAATGTGATGATTAGTACTTATATCAAATGCTGAAAATTAATTAATTATGCAAATTAGGTAATTAATATGAACTGATATTACCATAAAAACTATCTGGTCTATGCAGTGTCATATGACATCTATGTACCAAGTTTCATTGAAATGTGATAATTAGTACTTGAGATATCAGCGGAAAAAACGAAAATAGTTTCATCAAAATCCAATGAGTGGTTGTTTAGATATCAGTGGAACAATCATGGAACAGCTAAAAATCAGCTAATTATCATGCAAATTAGGTAATTAATATGCACAGATTTTTACCAAAACTAATCAAATCTGCGCATATGTTCAGAGCATCTATGTACCAAGTTTCATCAAAATCCAATGAGTGGTTGTTTAGATATCAGTGGAACAATCATGGAACAGCTAAAAATCAGCTAATTAACATGCAAATTAGGTAATTAATATGCACGGATTTTTACCAAAAATTAATCAAATCTGCGCATATGTTCAGAGCATCTATGTACCAAGTTTCATCAAAATCCAATGAGTGGTTCTTTAGATATCAGTGGAACAGTCATAGAACAGCTAAAAATTAGCTAATTATCATGCAAATTAGGTAATTAACGAGCATGGATTTTTACCAAAACCTAATCAAATCTGCGCATTGGCCCAGAGCATCTATGCACCAAGTTTCATCAAAAACCGATGTATGGTTCTTGAGATAGCAGTGGAACAGTCGGACACACATACACACACACATCCACACTAACTGCAAAGACTCCCATTATGTGCTTCGCACATGGGACTCAAAAATGTATATTAATGCAGAAACAGTAGTTCTCTTTTTGAAACATGTCGTGGCCCTAAAAATGGTCGGCCGCTTGATTTGTGCTTCCTTAGAAATGATTCAAGCAACTCGTATAAAGAGAGCCGAGAAGCAAGTGTTACACTCGGTTGGCCATAGCGTCATCAACAATTAAACCAATGTTGCAATATTGTAGCAGCCCATACTGAGAGAGTGGTTGAAATCACGTTATTTTGGCTTTATAGAATATTTGGTAGCAGCTTGCAAATCCATGTCATGCCGAAGACTGCCAACTCAGTAATAAAAAAAATAATAATAATAATAATAATCTTTATTGAAACCGTATCCCGGAGTGGGATCTTAGTTGAAAATACAATAAAGTAATACAAAAAGATAGCAAACAAAAAAACAAAACACAAGACATTCATAGACAATTGAAAAGAAAAAAAAAAAAAATGCTAGTAATGGTAGTCGTCCAATTTCCATTCTACTACCAATGTTACTTGTTCTGTTATTAACATTTAATAATCGTCTACAGAACATTAAATGGTGTTTTTCTGTACACGTTTTGTCCCAGTACTCTGGTCTGCTATTGATTCCCCAAATTTCTGCAGCATAAGTTAAAATTGGTGTCTGGATGCCCTCAAATAATTTCAATTGTAAAAGCATGTTTAACTTGTTTGATGTTAATACTGGTTTGATTGCTGCATC